ACATAATATTTGTACTAAATTTAAATCAAATCAGCATGCAATAGTTTTGCATGGTCTTTGTTTCAGTTGGGATTAATATATTATCTTGCTTTTGATTTGTGTGTGTATGTTTTTTTTTAAATTGAGTTCAAATTAGTTTTGGAAACAAAATTAATTTGACCGAGCTAATGATACATAAACTAGTTAAATTTATATTTAGTTTTTAGCTGGATTCCGAATTTGGATGCAGATAATAGCATAACGATAATGCAAGCTTTAGTTTTAAAATGAACATGTATCTTTGGTTCGAGATAATTAACTATCTAATAATCACAGTTCTAAAACCATTCAGCATTAATTATATTTGTTTCGAATGGATTCATCAGATAATTGAGCCAAAATTAAACCAAAAAATTAAAAAAAGTATCGTCTTTAGTATAATACAAAATGTTGATAATGAAAAAAACTAAAATGTTGAAACGGAGAAAAGAGTTAAAACATTACTTTACTGTGCAAATTGCAATCGATTTGTATGTACTAATCTACACAGTTTAGGTTGCTTCAATAGATATGATCTCTAGTTCTGCCTACCACGCCGGGATAGCCTCGGCAATGCTGCTTCCGAAATTATTCTGGTGATCTCTCGCACAGCTTAGTCACCTCTTCTTTCATTGACTCTGATTCAAACATTCCAAAATCACTTCCCATAACTTCTCAAAGATATTTCCTTTCTTGAAGCTTTCCAGTGTCGAATCCACGAGGGACTTAGTTTCGTGGAGCCAAATTCATATAGTAGAATGAAAAAAACTGAATACTTATTCGACGATTGAGTACTTTTAACTAAGTCTGCATAATTCGTCTCAAAACTTTGACAATATCCACCATCAGAACGAGGATATTCAAAACTTTGATGTACTTTGTTTTAAGCATTTAACACTTAAAAGTAATGTTCTATCATCCCTTCCAAAACATATTCATCCTAGGTATAAGATGAGACATGAATTCTTCCACTAGTCATCTATCTATTTTTATTTACGAGTATCCTCTATATATTAATTGAGGAGACAGTACATGAAAAAGTTATATGTGTCATTCAATGAGAATTTTAAAGAACATATCAATTAAATAAACCAATCAAAATATTCTAGTTAATTCTATATGTCATGTTTGAAATTTATACATATATATTTACATTAGTTTTTTAACATGACCTCACAAATACATATATTACTAATTTAA